CTCATGTTACGATCAAGCTCTTTCTATCAATATTAATTCTCTAAGATTATAACGAAAAGGTACTTAAAACTAATATTTATATTTAGCTGATTCATTATTTGAATTAGGGAAGAAATCAGAAGCTAAACAATTATATTTGTCTGCTTTGGAAAAAGGATCTAATGATAAGAATTACATTTTGAGATAACTATCAAAGTTATGAGGCATTATCATATTATACATATCATTTAATAAGATCTAATATGTTAATCTAATTAACTCTACCTTCTTTTATTTTGCAAAATATTTCTTATATTTGGCACATATTATAAGCTTTAAAATTAATGATTATAAAATTTACTAAAATTTATTTACTGTATCAGCAAAAACGAATATATTGTTTTAAGTATAAATGCTTTATATTCAAATGAATATCAAATAAAAAATCATTATTTCAATATCCTAAGGGTTTTATTACATTTAGACCATTATTTATTTAAATAAAAATTAAATTAATATTGCTTTTTTTCCTTATTCCTGATCTAAAGGCACACTTAGATTCTTCTTCTATTTAATAAGCAGTTTTTATGTAACGGCAATAAGAATTAGATTGTAATATTATGAATACAATATTCACCCAGGCACTCAAAGATATTGAATTTTTTTCTTGAAAAAAATAATACTTTACATCATGCAATAGAAAAAAAAGATAAATTCCTAATATTAAGGTAATTAAAAAGTAAGAATCATACTACATTAAAAGTCTAAAATTAAAATTAAATTTTAGATTGCAAAACGTTAAAGTCTTTAAATTAAGGCTGCTAAAATCTGGCATTAAAGGAAACCACTATTAAATATAATTATCTGCCTTTTAATAAAATTATTTTAAAAAATCGCATCAAAGTTTCCTTCTCATCAGTTCAATTTATCGATGAAATGATCACAAACACATAAAGAAATGATATTTCAGAAGAACTTCTATTTTAATCTGCAAAGGATTACGATGGATCAAATACAAAATCATAATGGATTTTAATTCTAAATGGTTGTTTTAAATGGATTAAGAAACTTAAGTAAGTACTCTCGACATTTGTATCTAAAAAGTTGAAACTTGAGATTATTGATACTTAATTACAACTAAGATGGTTAAAGATGGTATGAACAAAGTCTATTAAATAAAGATATATAAAAAAAGGCAATATTGTCATCAAAAAAGAAATAAACATTCATTTTTTTAAGCACTACTCTTCTTTTATTATTAACTTTGTACTGTATTTAAGATTTAAAATGGCTTCCAAAACCTAAACTAATCCAAAATTTTTTTAAATCAAAAATATTTTAAAAACTATATTTTATCCACTCTATAATGTATTGTAAGATTTGATCCTTTTCTTTTTCAAATTATTTACTCTTGTCAATCCAATTAAATTAAATAAATGAAATTTTTTATATACTAATTTCACTAATATTTTCATAAAATCACCATTAGTTTATATTAGCTTAAGAAAATTTTGCATTTAAAGTCAAAATATATGGAGACTTCACTACGCAAGATTCATAAAAATTAAAATTGAGAATAACTAAGAATAAGGCTAAGTTCAAAGCAAACTAAATAGAATTTGAAAAATTTCTTTAAAATATTTTTCCATTTCATTACAATTATATTTAGAGGGTTTATGAAACCCTTAGGATGATATCACAAATGTTGAAAATGTTTGGTTTAAAAAACCTTCCTTCCTCTAACTTTAGTTCATAGAAGAATTCGGTTGTAATTTTGGATAGTATTGAAAAGAAGATTTAGTATAAATTTAATGCTTTAAAGATTACCGTCTTGAAATAATTGCTTTGCTTTTCTGAAAAACATCTTTTTTATTTTAATAAAAGTAAGATAGATTAATTTAATATAAGAAGTATCATGTAGTAATCTAAAGCTATTAGAATTCTCTAATAGATCTATGGTAGATAAAACTATAAATGGTAAACAATTCAGATCTATTAAAATTTGGAGACTTATTTTTTCTGTAGTATAATTTATTTAAAAAATATCTCTTTTATAAGCAACTTCAAAATGTTTGTGAGAGGTTTTATGGTCGAAGAAGAGTTGAATTTACATATAAATAGTATAAACCAATAAAAATTTTGAATTACTTCTATCGATTATTCAAATTGAATCAAATAAATTCACTTATTGCTTGTATTTCACTTTTACTGATTCACTCTTTTTTTTATCCATAATGTAAAATCGTTTCACCAAAAATTCAATTATATCCTGAAAAGGAAATTCTTTTCACGTTGCAAAAAAAAATAGATCTTCTACAATTATTAAACAGTGATATATAGAATCGAAATATCCTGTCAGTAGGTTTGCTTAAGACAATTATCTTACAAAAAGTTATTAGTTTTTTAATTGAAAATAGAGTCTGAATTTAATCTCAAAAACAATAATAATTTCCAAAATCAACAAGATGATTTAATTAAAAAGCCAGCAAGCCTTAAATTATATCAACTTAAAAGCAAAGCAACTGTGATTTAGTCTCTTGGAGAATTATCTAGAAGACTCAAGATCGAAGTATAGGGATGCTTTCATCAAGGTCTTATTAATTAGAGTAACACATGATAAGCTTTATTCAAAAATTCTCCCCATCACTTTTTACTTGGATCTTATGTTAATCTGATATCTGCATTATAAAAAAGCTCTTCAGATCATTAACTATGTTGCTGGTTAATGTTCATGTCTTAAACATTAATTAATTCAAATAACTATAATAACTATTTCTCTAATAAGGAGACCATTCTTAGATTATTTATAATATAATCATTTATAAATTGAAAAAATCTCAAATTTATTAAAATTATAAATATTGATAAGCTTTAAGATATAAATAAGATTTATTATTATCCTCTCAATCAAAGAGTATTATAGAATTTTTTGGAAATTGATTTTAATCTTTATACTTTTAAAGTAAGATACCTTAAGGTTTTTTTTTGATATGAATCTATTAAATCTTCTTTCTTTTTTTTAAGCATAATTTAGATATAATATATTTATAGGTATTATTTTAATAAACTATCTATTAATAATATATTCAATTATTACCATGAGAATAAGTTTAAAATAATTAATTTATTATTGCCTATCCTTTTTTGACATATTTTATTTTTATTTTTCCATTTTATTATCTTCATTTAGTTTTATACTAAACTCTATATTGATTGAATATTTAAAATGAATTTAAATCAAAACCTTCAATAATACAAAATAGGATAGTTATATTTAAAGATAAACATGCAAGCTTAAATAGGGTAGTAGATAAAAAATACATCTAATATGTATACATAAAAAATCACCTTTTTGATTTTGAGTAATAGATGATATAGTTTATCCATTTTAGCTTAGATTAGAAAAATTTATTGAGTATTAAAGAAAATGATAGAAATAATGTAATCGGAACTTGAGATTATACAGTTTAAGATTAAAAGTTTATAAAATGTATATAACCAAAGGTTAATTACAGTTTAGTAATAAATAAAGATAAAGTGGTTTATATTCTATAATAATCAAAGCATTTTATTTTTCATTGGGTTATAACTTAGATAAAAAAGCATATTTAAGGGATTAATAAATAAAAAAGTATTTTTAAAGAGCTGAAAATTTTAACCAACCCATACAAATAAATTTCGAAAAATCTAATGATAAATAATTGATTTAATTAATTTGACAATAATCTAGGAAATGAAATGGAAAATAATAGAAATTTCTGATTAAAAAATATATTGTAATTTGTAATATATAAATTAATGATATTTATGTATAAAGATAATTAATGAATTTTTATTATTATTTTTATTTTTTAATATTCAAATGGAATTCTTTAAGTGTAAATACCTAAATCATGAAAATGAAGAAATAATTGGATTTTGCTTGAATCAGAATTGTTAAAATGCAACATAATATTGTTATGAATGTTTAACAACAACTCATTTAGATCATTTGAATGATTGCATTCGATTCTCTAAATTGAACTAATATTAATGAATTAATATAAGTTTAGAATCAATAAAGTAAATAATACAAAGAAATATCAAAATCACTTTAGTATTATTTTGAATAGATTTTTAAAATAATGGAACAAGATATTACAATATTATCTAAGATGAAACAATAACTTTAAAACAAAGAATATTTGAATTTTAAGGCATAAATCAAAATAATCAAAAGGTTTTACTCAAAAGAAAAAGAAAATTAAATATGTATATATTGAATAATTATAATAGAATAACAAATAATATAATTAAATAATATTCTTCAGGCAATTAAAAATATGGTTATAGAGTTAGCTAAAAGTAGTGATTATATAATCTCAGGTGATTAAAATCTAATTAAAATAGAAGAAATTAATTAGGAGAGTGAAGAATAAAAGGAAAATAACATTAAGGAAGCTAAAAGATTATTAGACTAAGGTATAATAAATTAAATTATAAATTAGGAGTTACATTAAGAAAGTTGAATAAATATTAAGAAGCCATTGAATGCTACGAAAAAGCAATTTCCATTAATCCAAAGTATGATAAAGCGTGGTTAAACAAGGGTAATTAATTGTTTAACATTCTTTTATAGGATTTGCATTAAATAATTTGAATAAATATTAAGAAGCCATTGAATGCTACGACAAAGCAATTTCCATTAATCCAAAGTA